TTTTTTTTTTTTTTTTTTTTGTACCAGGGATTGAACTCGGGTCCTTGTGCTTGCAAAGCAGGCAGCGGAACCACTGAGCTAAATCCCCGGCCTTGTGATTAATATGCTTTAAGAGGTCCCACTTCTCCAAGATTTCTACCACCTTCTAATAGCACTAGACTGAAGACCTTTTAACACATGGGATTAGGGAAATCATTTAAGATCCAAACTATAGCATATAGTGTTATAGTACTTATATTCAAGTACCCCTTCTTTTTACTTAATGGGGGCCCCAATGTGTAAGTAGCAATGCTGGCAACTTTATCAGAGTGTATTGTTACAACTGTACTATTTTATTATTGGTTTTCACTGTTCATCTTTTACTATGCCCGATTTATAAATTAAACTTCCTCATAGGTGTATGTATGTATAAGGTTTGGTACTATCTATCATCTGTGGGGGATCTCAAACATCTGTTCTCAAACAAAGAAAAGTTTAGTGCAAGGAAGCTCATCAGATTTGAGAAGGGGCATTACATGACTATAAACAGGTAAATTCTCCAAGATGACATTACCCTTAGTGTGTGTACACCTAACAAGACAAGGTCAAGCTATATTACATAAAAACTGAAAAATAGACAATTCCTATTAGAGTTGGAGACCTCAATACACCTCTAAGTGAGATAAACAGCCAGTAGGCAGAACTTGAACTCAAGAGGAACACTAATCAGCAGGATATGATTTTATCTTCGGACTACTTCATCCAACAACAGCAGAATACATATTCTCTTCGAGCTCATACGGAACATCTACCAGATACACCACATTTTGGACCATAAAACACACCTGCAATTTAAGAGTAGGAAGAGGTGATAGCATGGCCTGCCCCATGCTACCCCAGGAGACAGCACCCCTGGTGACAACTGGATCCAAGCAATGCGGCTTGGGAAGCGGCTCTCCCCAGAGTAGCAGTGGCTCCAGAGCCACACATCCACCTGACCTCCAGCTCTTAGGGGCTGCTGGGCTGGTTTGAGCCACGGCCGCACACTATACTGTTCCAACAATGTGGCAATCTGCTAAAGGCCAAGCTATGGAAACAGTAGAAGGACCCGTGGTTGGCATGGGTTAGGAGGGAGTGGTGAATAGGCAGAGCACAGAGGAATTTAAAGGCAGGGACCTTATTCTGCATGACCCTATAATGGCAGATGTATGTCATGGCAACTTTGTCCAGTTTGTGGGTTACAAACACCAAGAGCAGGCCCTAATGTATGTAACTAAGGACTTTGGGTGCTACGTGTGGACATGGTGACCTAAGTTTATCAACTGTTAACACACATGTCAGTCTGCTGTAGGCTGCTGATGGCAGGCACGGTGAGCCTATGCACATGAGGCCAGGGTACATGAGACATCTCTGGACTCTGCTCAATTTTGTTCCATACTTAAGGAGGGAACACACAGGGCCCCTTCCCCACTTTGGAGGGCTCAGCTAAGCTGCTGAATTGAAGATGAGCAAGGGTGTAGGGGCAGGAGAGGGGCAGCCCAGTCAGGGCAGTGACTTCCTGATGAATGCATGGACACCTTCAAGCTGATCATATACTCCAGGCTAGAGCGCTCTGGAGGAATTCTCCACCCACTTCCCTTACTGAAAGCTGCCCTTTGACTCCTAACCTGCTCTGCCTACCAGCCCATGAAAGCCTTTATCCACCTCACACATACCTGTAATAATATAGTTGCTTGAACTGGGCATGGGGGTGCACACCTGTAATCCCAGCACTGAAGAGGCTAAGGTAGAAGGACTGCCAAGAGTTCGAGGCCAGCCTGGGCTACATAGTGAGTTCAAGGCCAGCCTATATTACACAGTGAGATTCTGTCTCAAAACAAACAAAAAGAAACAAATACCAACTCATCAGGAGGCTGAGGCAGGATGATCATAAGTTCAAGCTTAGCATGGGCAATTTAGTAAGACCCTGTCTCAAATCAAGACTAAGAGTGCAGTTCGGTTGTAGAGAGTGCTTGCCTAGCACAGCATAGATAACAACAACAAGAAGACAAAAATAAAGGGACCAAATTAAGAGAGAATTTCTTGGCGGGGCACATAACTTGTTCACATAATTTAACCACTGGCGCCCTCTGCTGTTGAAATGCCAGACCAGTCCATTCTGACGACTTAGGTTTGCAAAGTAAAAAATATTTTTAGAGTACTTTGCTTTTTATTTTTAAAAGTTCTGTTACTTCCCTAGAGGAACTATGTGCTTGTCTTAACAGGTTTTTAAATTTCCAATCACATGTCAGAGCGGACATAAGATAGTGGAAGTGCCTTGAAATGTCCAAACGGCTTAAGGGCAAAGCTGGCTGAGGACAAGGAACTCGAGAGGCTTCAGAGGGCAGAGGGAGCAGGGCTGACACCAGGAGGTGGGACTAGCTGACCAGAAGAGAGGCACGGAAATAACAGCTGGAGCCAAAAGAAACCTGGGATGCATTCACATGAATGTGGTCAAACTGGCCGTCTCGGTCTACCTCCTCTATTCTGTTGGAGAACACCAAAGCCAAAGGCCATGAGCCTTGGGCTGCCCTGGAAGGCGTCTTCCACGTGCCTGGTAATGGGCATGCGCATAGGTTTTACGTGGATGAAGCTGTAGGAAAAGAAACACAGTCCCTTCACCTGGACAGAGCACTCAGAAAAGGAATGGCCCTATTCCACTACTTCCTAGCTGGGTGTTTGCTAAGCACCTAGGATGTGCTGGGCGGGGTTGCAGCAGCAGCATGGTCCCAAGTCAGCTTGGGGGTGAGTGCACTGATCTTCATCTTCTACACTGAACGTTCTGCCATCCTCTGGAAAGACTTTGTTTCCATGTTCCTATCCTCAGATGAGATTAAAGGTATGATTGCTAGGTCAGCCTAGCAGGAATTCTAAAGCAAGGAGACTTTCTGAGGTCAAGGCCAAAGCCATTCCAAGGCAGATACTTGTTCTCTCTGTGCTCCGGAAGTTCTTTAGACTGAGGTAACTTAGTCCTTGAAGTGGGGCCAGGGCAACAGTTTGATTTCCTAGCACGTTACCATCGGCTGTGCTATGCTCAGAGATGGAACAGACAATGGTAAACAGGAAACGCTACACCTGTGCAGTGGAAGCTGGCAGAGGTGGGGAGGGATTAACCTGCAGAGGGGAGGAAGAGAGGTCAGAGGGGCAGTCCCTTGGGGGTCAGGCCAGGAACATCCCCTGGAAGTCGTGATCTCATTGGAACCATAACTCAATGCTTTCCAGAGCCCAGTCCTGGCCAATTGTCTGCTACTCGGCACTCCTCGTACAAAAACTATCTCTTCTGCCAACCCTCTGTGCACAATGGGGTGCATTGGTCAGGGCCCCTGGGACTGTCAAACACCACTGGAAAAGGTTCCAAGTCAGCCCAGACCCTCCTGGGGCAACAGCACTGAGCACTGAGCTGCTTCTCTCTCGTCCTCTGCCTATGACCTGGTCCTCACACCTTCCCTGTCTCCTCCCTCCAGGGTAGCTCAAGCGCCCTTTCCTGTGGAGCCTTTCTGGGTCATCCCAGTCTCACCAGCCTTTTTGATTATGTAAACCTGAAGAAGAATTATTTTGCAACTCTGGGCAGGTCATGTATACTCCCAGATAGAGTTTCCTCATCTGTGATCAACAAATGCTTCTCCTTTTACCAATTCCAATAATGACTCAGCAGACTCTACTACCCTGGAACTATGCACACTTATTCTTGATTCACTGTTTGACTTATTCATATTACTTAATGCATTGTAGGTCCAAATAGAGTACACATTTAGAAAGCTAAAATAATGTTGCATCTCCAAGTTCTCAATGATGTCCTGCACAAAGCCAGATGCCTCACTGTTCAGCATATTCTCTGTGGAGTATGACAGTTTGTATGTGGGCAGCATTAACAACCACTCTCAGACTGGAGCCCAGCAGGTAACAGGTAACTGAAATTCCAAACTCTAGACACAAGCTTTTGCGGAACATACAAAATTAAACGCCAATGAAATAAAGGCATAGTCAGCTCATATGGTTTATTTTAAAATAGACACACAATGAATAAAACCCTTATGTCATGGCTTCCTTATCCTATTCAAACATGAAAAAAAAGTGGGAGGCCTAGGCTTTGAAAATATGGTTGCTGGGAGCCTTTCTTCTGGAATTATTAGTGTATATGCATAAAGATGGGTATGAGGATATTTGTGGCAGCATAAATCAAAACAGTGGCAACACAGAACCAGCAAATGTCTATCAAGAAGGTGATGATTAAATAACCCAAGAAACCTCCATAATGGAGACTACTAAGTGTCACTAAGAAGAGTAGAATACAGACATCTCTGCACTGCCTTGGAAATGCTTTGAGACATACTGTAGGAAAAGAAAATTATAGAACACATGTAGGATCTATTTAGCACATATCTGTTGAGTACTAATGTGCCAGGTACTTTCTAGATGCCAGGGAAACAGCAGAGAACAATACACACACACACACACACACACACACACACACTCACACATCTCTGCCCTTATGAAGCTAATAGTTAGATGGGGAGAGAGAAAATAACACATAAGTAATATAAAACACTGGATGTGGTAAGTGCAAGGAAAAAGCATTGGAGGAAGATGAAGAAGAGGTGTTTTTGTTCCCCTCCCCTCTCCAGTACTGCAGCCTGAACAGGGGGGCTTTACGCTGAGCTACCTATGACCCACAGCATTTTAAAATTTTATATTTTGAGACATGGTCTCACTTAGTCACTAAATTACCCAGGCTGGGATGGAACTTGTGATCCTCCTGCCTCGGCCCCCCCAGAGTGCTGGGAAAACAGGTGTGCACCATGACACTGGCTCATAGCATCTGTCTTTAAAAGGCCGGTTGGGGAGACCTCACAGACACGGTGATCATATTTCGGGGTGGTGGGGCTACACATCTAGGTAGAGTGGGCAGCGCCTCAGATGGCCTTGCTGGCCCCTGACTCTTGAGTTCACTTTCTTACCCAACTCTCTCTGCAGAGCGTGAATGGACCGAGTGATTCTCTTCTGAGGACAGAAAATGCCAGAAATGATAGGATGCCTGTTCTGAGACTGGGTCTGTCCTTCGGGTATCCTCTTACTTTCTGGCCTGCTTGCTCTGCAGGATGGCGGCTGCCATGCTGCCAGCTGCCAAATGGAATGGAGGGGCCGGATGTGAGGCAGGGACCCAAGGCTGCCGGTGGCCACACGAGTGAGCTTCAAGTGGCTGCTCTTCACGCTGAGCTTCTCCAGCTTGGCCACAGCCTCACACACACCCCATGTCCTGAACTGCACCTCATTTCTCAGCCACATACTCAGCAAGTAAATACTGGGTGTTTCACACCAGTGTGTTTTGAGATAATTTGTTATGCAGCAATAGACACTAAAGCTTGTTTGCAAATACCCGTGTCTCCAATGTATACAAAAAGGCTTGAAAGGACCTACCAAAATTTTAGTAGCAGTTACGTCTGGAAATGGAAATAGAAAAAGAATATAAAGATACACTCTCTCTTTAAGTGTTGCTTGAATCTTTTACGGCAAGAATGCATTTATTTATTATCACTGGTACTCTTTTAATTCTAAAAATACAAATAAAAGTTGAAGTTATGACAAGGGGGCCTAGTTGTTTTAAAAACAGTAAAACACATTTTGAAAAATGATGACAATAAAAATCCTTTTTTACATTTCTAAATACTTAAATACTTTCATTGTCTCTCTGACTCTGGCTCCATCTCTCTCTCTGGACTGGGGCCTAAACCTGGGACACTCTGCCACTGAGCCACAGCTTAGCCCCTTTTATAAATGTAGTCTAACTTAATTTGAGACAAGGTCTTGCTAAATTTTCCAGATTGGGCCTGAACTTGCAAGTCTCTTGTCTCAGCTTCCCAAGAACTGGTGTTACATGGGTGCTCCATAGCCAGCTTTAAACTACTTATTTTTGTTTCTAGTACTGGGAATTGAACATAGCACTTCATAATAAGCTATATTTCTAACCCCCTTTTCTCATTTCATTTTAAATTTTGAGACATGGTCTAAGTTGCTAAATTGCCTAAGCTGAGCTAGAACTTACGATCCTCCTGCCTCAGCCTCCTGCAGTGCTGCGATTACAGGGATGCACCACACACTGGCTCAAAATATATTTTTTAAAGGAAGAAAGAGAAGAAGGAGGGAAAGAAAGAAGGGGCAGTGGAAGATCTTTCTTCATGGCTCCTCACAGCCGCCCTTGAGGTATGCAGCTAAGGTTTTAGTTTTTACTGCTCTTATTACACTCATCTCTGTATTCAGAAGGCAGGAGGCCAGCTGGGATGAAGCCAACCAGGCACAGAACAGCGCCAACTCCTGGCTTATGACTTCCACAGTGATTCCACCATCCTTCACGACTTTGTGGAGCACAAGCAGCACCCCAAGCCTTTGTCCACAGAGCAGTTAGGCAGATGAAGCTCAGATAGAGACAGGAGTCAGCAAGGCATTTCCAGGTCTTCCCTAGGCACACGCTCCTCCCCACCTCATGGAGAAGTGCAGACCACACAGAAGGTCACACTAGAGAGGGTGACACAAAACAGGGCTTCCACAGGGCAGGCTGCAAGCTGTGTAAGCATGGTCCGGCTGGCTCTCCTGTTGAACTGTCCTCTAGTGCCTGACAGCTCCAGGGCAGTGGTGCTCATGTAAGTCTGGGAGACAAACGGGGCTAGGGTGGGCCACATCTCCCTGTGATAACCCCGTCTGCTTTACTTATATTTTCAGTGGAGTGCAACCTTCCTGGAGACATTGCAATACCAGATCTATGCACAGAGTGGACACAGCAGGTTTCTGTTATCTTGTTGCTCAAAAAATCCATTTCACATAGTGTCTTCAGAGAGATGACAAATCAGATATTAATCTAGTAAGACCAGATACCACCTGACCTTAGCCAAGAGGCCGAGAAGCTATCCCATATCCTCTTCAGAGAAGGAAATGACAATCCTAAGGTGCAGGCATCTGTCTCTCCAGGGGCACAAACTCCCACTGTCAGCTGAGAAATACAACCCAGGGGGAAACAGGCCCCAGAGAACCTACTGCGCAGATGACAGCATGGTGCTGAGGGAAGGACAGCAGAAGTCAAGGATGCAAAGGGCTCAGATGCCCCAGAAACTTGGGATGCAAACATGCAAACCCTGGAACTCAGTTTCTAGATGTTAAACTTGGCTGAGGTGCTCAGACAGGCCCAGAGATGAGTCTGGAGAGGCTCAGACAGGACAAGTGCTAGAATCTCAGACAAGAGGAAGGAATGAGACATTCTGCCGGCTCTCTTGGTGCCAGGTTTTTGTCCTTGGCTAAGGAAGTCAGTTATCCAACAATTATGAGAGCGCTGTCCCAGGGCCTGACCCCTCCATGGTCAAGTGCAAGAAAGGATCACCCTGAGGACAAAGGCCAGCCCCACACAGGTCCCGGGCTGGAAGCGCACGCTCACATGGCCCAATCTATCCAGTTCCCCATTTCTCTGCCAGTCAATTGACGGTGGGCTCACATACCATATCACAATGCTTCCGTCACATCCGACCCCATATCCGACAGCTACAGCTCTTGAGAAATGTGTTTTTCTGAAAGTACGAGGACCTGTTCCCAGGAGTAGGCCTGGCACCAAAGCTGCAGCAGGGGCCAGCAGACTGAATGGTAAATCTGTACTCAGAACCCAAAGGAGCAGGGGAGCAGCCCAGGAGGACTGGCCAATGTGGCCAGCAGCAGTAAGAACCCCGCTGAGCTTCCTGAGCAGAAGAGTATAGGGCAGGTCCTGATCAGCGCCAGGCTGCCTAGGGCCTGGTGGGTCACTACATCTTGATCTAGTCATAGTTGCAGACCCAGGGTTAGATCTGGGCAACCACAGGCCCATGCTGGCCTCTTCCGGCCAGGACTTCTCTCTGAAGCATAACGGGCTTGCACAGCAAAGAAGACTTGAAGTCAGGAAATGGTGGAAGGAGATGAGTACCCTAAGCACTGAGCCCAAAGGATGCCATCTACTCCATGGCTGTAAATGCTACTCAGATGCTGACAAACCCACACTGAAATGCTTAGCCTAGCTTCTCCCCAGGTTTCAGTGAGCGTGTCCAACAACAGACAGTTCCGTGTCACTTCCCAGGGCCCCTCAAGTCAACACGACCCCAAATCAGTTCCACACCTTTGCCTCCAGGTCTGGCCCTCCATTGTGCTTTGGAAAAGTATGTCTCCTTAAGTCTCATGTGTTCAGAGGCGGGGCTTTCCCAAGGTGACTGGGTCACGGCAGTGCTACACTCATCCCTGGGTGAATCCGCCAATGGGTTCATGGCTGGCTGCACTGCTGGGAGGTGGGGTCTGTTGGGTACAAGTGGGTCATCACGTGTGAGACCTGGAAGGGTATTTTCTTGTCCCCAGCTCTGCCCTTCTCCCTTTGGCTGTCTTGGTTTCTCTCTGCTTTTGGCCACCACGAACTGGGTAAGCAGTTTTCTTTTGTCAAGTCTATGCTCTTTTTGCCTTGGAGACAGACAACTATGAATTGAAACCATGAACCAAATAAACCTTCTCGTCTTTAAATTGTGTATGTCACGCACATGATTCCAGTGATCAATATCTGACTAATACACCCTCCATCTCAGTGAATGTTTCAGTGTCCCCCAAGCTGGACCTGGTCCATCTGTCCCATAAATTACTCTTTATTTATTTATTTATTTATGGTACCAGAGATCGAACTCAGGACCTTGCACTTCTGAGGCAGGCGGCGGAACCACTGAGCTAAATCCCTGGTCCTCCTATCCAATATTTAAAAGATATTCTCTTCTTTATCCCTACTGCAGCCAGCACCTAATGTCACTTTCTGCTTGACCTATTTTAAAATGTTTCCACTATGAGAATTTATTAACATGTTCAATACAAATAATACAATACTGTTTTAAAATGATACCCATGCAATATTCTTGCCCAAGATGGAGTCTATTCTATGGCCAACCTGGACCAGCAAGTGCTGGACCCTCTATGCAAGCCCAATATGTCCCCACTTGCCACACAATGTGCTGCTGTTGGAGCCACTCAGCACCCTCAGCAGAGCAGACAGGTGACAGGTGGGAGAGGAACAGAGGTGGGAGCCTGCAACTCCAGGGTCAAGGCTCAAGTCTCACTGCTGATAATAAACTGTGTGATGTATGCAGCTGACTCGTCTCTGAGCCTCAGTTTGCTCCCCAGGAGTATGGGGACACTGTCGCCATGTCACGGCCCATGCAAGAACAGAAAGCAGTCTAATGAGACAGCATTCTAGCGTGCTTCCTTCCCCAGAGCAAGCTCTGAATGCTGGATCATGAGAGAAAAACCCCAGTTTGGATCTACTGCTTACTTCACAGCCTAACTCCAAAAATATTTCTTCCTTTCTACTCCAATGTATCTTTTCCTAGACTAGACATTTCTAGACTCATTTGTGTCCCACCTTGTTGACTATCTTAAGACACGGCTTCTACCTTCTCCTTCTCTGTTTCCCTCTCTACAGCCATTGTCATGGTCTCTGCCCACTTTTTTTTTTTTGGTTGGTTGGTTGGTTTGTTTTGAGACCAGATCTCAGTATACAGGCCAGGCCAGCTTCCACTTTCTATATCAGTAGGCTCCAGACCCTCCTGCCTCAGCCTCCCAAGTGTTTAGATTACAGGTATGCACCACCAGTGTGGCTTGCCTAGAGTTTTTTAAAAATGTATTATTTATTTATGTATGTATGTATTTTTCTGGTACTGGGGATTGATTTCAGGACCATGAGCTTCCCAGGCAGGTGTGGCACCTCTGAGCTACATCCGCAGCCCTTGCCTAGAGTTCTTAATAGAGATGCCCAGCAAGAAATGAGAGATTAATAAGGGCTTGTGCTCCAGCCAGTTCTAGAGCTTACTTTCTAGATTATGAAAACAGACCAAGACTTGTTACCAAGAAGAGAAAAAGGGAGCACGTGGGAGTGGGGGAAGAGAGGAGGGTGGGGAGCAACTCACCTTTACACTGCAAACCCTGCCGCAAGAGGCCCCACAGCAAGGAACCACAGTGATCACAGAAGGTGGGGACCTTGTAATTGTGGATCCCGAACTTGTGTGGCATGTTGACGCTGAACCGCTGGGATCCCACCTGCAGGGAGGGAAGACACAGTGTCAGCACCCATCTGGGTGCTCCCAGCTCCTCCTGGCCTGTGGCCTTATCCCAGTGGCCCTTACCCAGCTTCCTCCTCAGAAGGTGTGCGTGTCACTGCAGGACCCTGAAGGCCCCAGCCTGGCTCTGAAGGCTGCCTAGGAAACAGGGTGAATGCAGCCTCCCTGCAGGCCAAGCTATTGCCCCTGACACCCCTAACTCCTGGCCTGCTACACCAGTGTGGGCCAAGTTTGCCGCCCCCACCCCGGACTCCAGGCCTCAACACAATCATGACACACAGCCCATCGTGTGCACCTTGCACTTGGGCCACACATGGATAGCACTGTGCCTCTGAAGCTACTCTGTACATGGAGAACCCAGGCAAAGGGGCCTTTCCAGCTCAGGGGGACACAGGAGACTGTGAGGCAGCATGAGCCCAGAGCAGTGCTGCAGAGACTGGCTAACAGAGCAGAGCTTTAGGAATGCTAAGATATCAGTGCCCACCACAGGACACATACCAGCATCTCACCCCACACACACCATGGGGTAAGACTGTGTGGCCCTGGTCACTGCTGAGGAAAGGAAGGCACGGTGGGACTGAGAGACAAGCCTGCAAGCTGATGAGGGGCAGAGACAACTTCCGGCCCATGAGTCTGAATTCAGAGCTCAGGCCATTGAGCCACTCTACTGCCACTTGCTCATTACATTAAGGTAGCAGAGATAAGGTGGCAGGGTGGAAGAGAATGGATGTGGTGCCAGCCAGCCCTCCAGGAGTCAGATCTGTGGGTCTGGGTCTGCTACAAACCACCTTGAGGACTCAGGCCGGTTTCCTGGCTTCCCGGGGCCTGGGATTTCTCATCTGGCACATAGCAATGACACCCCTGTCCTATATAATATCACAGAAAAGTGAGTCAGCGAGATGACAGGGCTGGGTCCACCTGCCTGGGTCTTCTCCACCCCTCCACGGTGCCACTCTCCTCCTATGTGCAGTGGAGCAGCCACACGGCCAGGCAGGAAACCAGCACCTGCTCAGACTCCAGGATTAGGGGGAGGATGACTGTGCCTTGGCTCCTGCTTGAGTAACGAGCTCCCCATCACCTGCCCTGGGAATGACTGTCCCTCTACCAGCCCTGCTTAAACTGTGTGGGCTCAATACTGTCCTGCCTGTGTATAGGATGTCCAGGTTTACCGAGAACAACGGGAGCCACCACACTTTACCCTGGCAGCTTAGGTGTCTTCTGATCCCCCCAAGACAGGTGAGGTCACTGCCCACAGTCAAGTCCTACAGTCCTGTGAATGGCAGCAGATGTCCCAGTAACAGCCCCCAGGGATATGAAGAACAGCCTGAGGTGAGGCTGTCCTGGTTTCCAAGAAGTTCAGTGTGGGGCTGGGGACTGCTCTGTGTTACTTAGGAGGACCACTAAGGACTGTGATGTATTAAAACAGTGGGACGAAGACAGAGATCATGGGCCAGAGCCAGAGAGAGGGAGAAGAGGAAGACACAGACATGAAGGAGTGAGTGGGATTCATGGGGAGAACACAGAGAGGACAAAGGGAAGAAAGAGAGAATTGTAAGGCTCAAACAAGAACAAAAAGAAGGTGGGCTGGGGGTTTGGCTCAGTGGTTCCGCCCCCTGCCTCGCAAGAGCAAGGACCTGAGTTCGATCCCAGGTACAAGAACAAAAAGAAGGTGACACGGAAATGGAGCGTCCCTCGGTTACCACACCTAGAAATGCAGGTAGGAATGTGAATCCTCAGAGTCACACACAGACCTAAGACAGAACTAACTGCCAAGACACCAAGTGCATGTGATGGGAAGGGTCCAGGGAGTGCAGTGGCCGAGCAGCCTTTGACAAGACGGAGGACATCGGAAGTGTGGTGTTCGGAGCTGGAGGCACTTGTGGAAGGTACGTAGATTCACGTGTGCACGCCATGTCACACGGAAGGTGACTGCACAAAGGAATGAACCCAAAGGTTGGTTCCTGGCAGAAGGCACATCCATCACCATGACAAGCCTCAGGCAGCAGGAGATGGTGGCAAGCAGGGACATCAGGACAGGGAGTCAACTCTACGAAGCTAAGAAACCAGGGCCCCCTTCCTCACTGCGCGGCTGTGTATGTCCCTTGGGACATGAGCCTAACTCGGAAACATACTGCACTGGAGACTTTTCACTCTTCCGTCTTCCAGGAAACATGGAGACGTAGATCACAGACTCAGTGGGTGCCGGGTAGTTCACCTCTCAGCCCTCTGGCCTGCATGACATTGACTCTGGTGCGCTTTTCCCTCCCAGGAACTGAGGACAGGCTTTAGAAACCTGCAGAGGTTCCCAGATGACCAGCCTCGGGAGATCCTCGCAGGCAGGACTCATGTGTCCTTTCCTTCTGTGAGTCATGGCACAATGCTTGCCATCCAGGAGATGCCCAGGCAATAGTCAATGCCCACAGGCAGGAAGTCAGACAGCAGGCAAATTGTCTCTTCCTTTCATTCTCTCATTAGAGTAATTAAGTCAGGAAACTAGATGTGGGCTTGCACTTTTAATCAAGACAACAGACCTCCTGCAAACAACCGCTGTGCCCAGGGCTCAGCCAGCCCTTCAGGAGGACCAAAGGCTCAGTCTATGCTTTGCCCCTTGCTGCTTCCCAGAGATGGTATGGAAGCAAAAGGAAATAAGAGATGAGAAATGTTTTAGATTCAAAGATACAATGTGGTTAAATTACTCTGAAGAATTAGGCATACAGTCACCTCTTTTGGAAGCTAACAGATAAAACCCACCTGACTCTAAACCCAGCTGGTTATAAATCCACTCAGCTCCCTCCATTGTAGAGGGCTATGATTATACAGTAGTTTTTAAATCTAGAATTTAAAGTAGGCCTTTGAAATCACAGATAACACCGTAATTATACCTGCTATCTCCCTGGAAAAGCTTTTTCAATCTGTCAGTGGTAACATCATTCTCCCAATTGCTCAGTTAGGAAAAACTCGCCTCCCTGGTTGAATTTTCCAGACTTCCTTATCCCTAGCAACTTCTCTAAAGCTACCCTCATGTTAGTTTCTACGATGGAGAGAGAACATAGTAAAGAGCTCAGGGGCTCAAACTTTGGGACAGACCATCCGGGACTGCGGGCAGTTGCAGGCTGGCCTTGAACTTGGCAACACTGCCTCATTCTCCTGAGTTGTGGGATGGCAGATGCATAGACCACCTGGGTTTGAATGTCGTTCTTTCATACGCTAGCTATGTGAGTTGGGACAAATTAATTTGATTTTTCTGTGTTTCTAGTCTCTCTGTTCTAAAATGAAGAGGATAGTAACATCTATCTCATTAAGGTGGTTATGGGATTAAATAACACATATTGAAGTGTTCAGGTCAGGGTAAGGTAAGTGTCGCCTATTATTAATCAGTGGGGTTACTGCTACCTCTGGAGTATTCCTTGGATTGTCCAGTCTACTCTATTTCCGTACCACCTCCTTAAGGACAAGGTTCCTACCTGTGTGTTGTCTTGGTTTCTGTTTATAACCTGCATAAACCATGGACACATCACCCAGCTGCTTCTGGGCTCTGATAAAGTAATGCAACAAAAGAACTCACACTTTTTCTCATGGGTTTTGCCTCTGGGACCCAAGTACTCTTAGACTAATACCCACAGGCCATGCCAGCAGACCATGGGCAATTACTTTCATTTTTAATCAGCCCAATAAAGATAGCATCAGGATCACCAAGAGAGTTTTCTTGGGGACCACACTGAAGGCAGTGAAGGGAGAAAGTGGGGGGAAAAGAAAGCACAGAATCCCAATGTTGCACATACTTACCTCATCAGGGGTTTCCTGCTTCTTTAATCCAGCGCACTTCGTGATGATGAGCTCATGGCACCGCTTGTGCACGACACAAGTGCAAACTACAAGCAGCAAGAAACCGAAAGGTGAGGGACAAATGCAGAAAGAAAGCTTTTACCTCAAGGCTCGGTCAGGTATCAGAGGAGGAGTGAAGGGATTCCATGTCCCTTCTGTCCCTGGGCCTGAATGTTATGCCCTCCTGGGAGCTCTGTCTGCAGCTATTTCCAAGCTCTTTGCCAACAGAGCCCCGAGGCTTCCTACACCTGCTGCCAGAGAAGGAAGCAGCTGTGCCCAAAGGGCTCTGAAGGGTCCCTTTAGTTCTGAGTTCGAGAGTCCCCTGGCTGGCTGTCAACTGCCTCCCTCCCACGAAGCCTTTTCTAAGAAGATGTCATGTGGTTCCCTGTGGTCCTGCGCCACTACAGAGTGGAAGGAATGACACAGATGACCCTGAAGTTCTTACGGGATCTTTTAGAAAATCTGGCTGTGGTCTCACATGCTAAACTTTCAAAAGTTCCATTTTAATCTGTCCACAAAAAGCGGCCTGTACATGGGGCAGGATGGCAACTGGCGGCTGAAGAGGAAGACCTCTCTGTGAGCAGCCACACCTGCCAGCAGAGCCACCTTGCTTCCCTCAAGGGTGAGATGGCACTGGGCAAGGAGACGGGCCAGCTGCTCCACTGTCACTGTGCAGAGCCTCGGTGTGACCATCTCACATTTCCACCCTCCCAGGCTGAACGACTTAACCTCGAACTGGTTGTCAGTTAACCAGAGAAAATAATGTTCCATGCCTTCAAGTGAGTCCTATTCGTATCACTATTATTACCACTATTATTACTTTGTAGTACTGATGTTTGAACCCAGGAGTGTTTTACCGCTGAGCTATGTCCCAGGCCTTTTATTTACTTATTCTTTATTTTGAGATGCTCTGACTGAGTTGGCCAAGCAGGGCTTGATGTGGGATCCTCCTGCTTCGGTCTCCCTAAGTGCTGCGACTACAAGTGTGTCTCATTACACCCGGTTGAGCTTTAGATTTTTTTCAGAGTTAACTATTCCACAGTAAAGATTCAAAACAAAACAAAACACAGAGAAAACAACTGTTCGGTAATCTTGACTAAAACAAGCAGGTGAGAGAATTTCAAGGAGCTGACAGGCACAGATCTGCATGGTATGAGCAGAACTTCCAAAGAAGCACTGTACTGCTTCTCCAGGAGAGATCAAAGTGCTACTGCTGGTACAAAAACACTGGGACACTGGGGGCATTGGGAGCTTCCTGTCTGCAAGGCACCTCCAGTGCATACATATGGAGTACTACAGTCAGGGACAAAGCAAGCAGGGTCTCCCTTCCTGGAGAGGGAGGGTAAACACGCCAGCCTTACTAGCAGCAGTCCCCAACCTTTGGGCACCTGGCACCAAGTGTGGGGAAGACTATTTTTCCATTAATAGGGTGGGATGGTAGTGGGGTTTTGCGATTAGATTCTCCTAAGGAGCATGTAATGTAGAACTGAGGGCTTGCACTCCTGTGAGAACCCAATGCTCTATGGATCTGACAGGAGGCGGAGCTCAGGTGATGATGGAGCAATGGGGAACAGCCATAAATACAGATGGAGCTTCACTCACTGCCCTGCCCACCTTTTGTTATGCAGCTGGCTCCTCACAGGTCCCGGATTGGTACTGGTTCAGGGCCTGAGGGTTGGAGACCCCTGGTATAGAGCCTCTAACTGACATTAGATCCAGCACACCTCTCCCAAGTAAGAGTGATCTAAACCTAACCGTGGGTTTTCAAAGCCTCAGTTCATAAAGCACCTCTTACCTTGACATTGGTATCCCTGCTTTCCTATGACCCCCCTGAAAAGAAAAACACAATTCTTTAAGAAAGAACATACCAAACCCCCCCATTCTCCCTCCACTCCTTGCTGCAATGAACCCAGAGAGCCTGTCAAGTACTGGCAGCTAACTTCCCTTGCAAGGTGCCACAAGATGCTTCCTCCCAGAAGGTCACAGGGGCAGTCATGCCAGCAGGGCAACAGTGTGTTGGAAAGCTGCACATGAGCCTGCCTGCTCCGGACAGGCCCTGGGCAGCCTGATATTCCCGTCCTTGTGGATGAAATAGCACTACTTTCCGCACAGCCCCAGGATGCACTCTGCGGGCTCTCTGACCATGGGGGAGGACGGTGGCTGGCAGGCACATTCCCTGGGCATCCTAACGACTGCTAAGAAGTCAGTCTACGGTCAGAACTGGGGGTGGGCAGGGGGAGTTTCAATCTACTGTTTGGGTGATGGGCAACCACAGAGGTTCCTTCCACGGCGGGAGAAGAGTCAAGGGTCAAGGCTGGAAGTCAGAGTAAAAACAGATCAGACCCACCTAACCTCATGCCTATCCTCAGTGCCCCAACAGAAGCAAGTCAAGGAACTCCCTGTAGTTTCCAGACCAGTGGAAGGAGCTGGAAGTGATGGGGCCACACCCCAGGAAATCAAGAGCTCAGTGGTCTTCAGCATAGGCTTAGAGGAGCCCTCAATCTGTAAGACCAACCACACTCAACTCACGATCAAAATGTGGACAATGGTGGTCCAGCCATGAGAAAGTACAGGGAATGACACAGTCATTCCCAGTCTGTGGCTGGACTGGGAGCAGGGGCTGTTTCTGCTTGAGTTGGGTTCTCTCTGAGCTGTGTCATCTCCGATGTCCATGCCAACCTCAGTGACTTGCTTTATGACACCACAAGTGTAAGACAAATGACTCAGAAATCCAGGGGGCCTCAGAGCCCCATTCACATGGCCCCTGGCTGGGTTCCCAATGAAATCTGGCCTCACTTGCTCTGCCCTGCTGGACCCAAGTGCGTGGGCCACTTCTGTATCAGCATCAAAGAGCTCAGAGGACTGGCCAGAAAGGCTGGTGGGAGGTCAGGCAAAGCATGAGATTTAAGGTCTGACTCAAGTGAGGTGGAAACAAGCCTCTAATAAGTCCTCATGAGAGGACAGCAAGTGGGCCTCCCTCATTTCTGAGATTGGCATTATTAGTGGGACGGAGCTCATACTGCATAGTTCACAGGACAATGGGAAGACTGAATTAGGTATTTCTGGTTTTAAGATAGGACCTGGCACGCAGTGGATATTCATTAAAATTCCTCCTTCAAGTAGAAAACCAGTGCCCTGTGTCCTCTCCACTTCTCAGAGGCCCAGCACACCTCACTCTCTCAAAATCCCAATCAGCAGAAATACCATGTATTCCAGGCAGCCTCCCAGACCTTCCTGCTCCTCTGAGAACCCAGCCCCCAGGCAGAGCACATTTAGAATACTTACTGAGAACTGCAACCCCGTATTTTTCCCTTTGTTGTGAAAATGATCAAATATATACCACAGTAACAAATATAACAGACCTGCGGCCCATCACCCTGCTCCACCTGTCCATGAATGGCCAACTCCATATTGTCACTACCCTCACTTAGCCCATCTCCCTGCCTTCCAGAATTATTCCAAATATCATGGTTCATTCAGAAGCAATTCAACTCATCTTTCTAAAAGGAAAGGGTTCTTTCCCGAAACACAATTATACTATCATTATGGGTGATGAAGTTTTAATTTCTTTGCGACCCGGAAGCACAGTTCCTTCTTTGTATTTTTATCCCCCATGCACCCCACACACCTACACGGAACACCCCCTGGAAAAGTCTTCTGTAACCAGAGAAGAAATAAAGCGTATCAACGCTGCTTCTTTTCTATATTTCTTTTTTTTTCAACATATGGGGTGAAATTTATTTTTATCTGAAATTTATTATTTCTCAGTTTCGGTGAAAGGTTTAAAGTCTGAGAAACTGTTCTATAATCTGTTTTATTAAAGGAAATCCTGGCTGTCATCGTCAAATTCTTCAAGGCTTATGCCAGCTCTGCATTGTCATAAAATTCAAGGCAGGCAATACTCTTTCCTTATTAAAATATATCTTCTAAACCTGAGAATCAGAATACTAAAAAGATATCAAAATTATACTTCGAACCACCCTCCACAGTTCATACTTAATGTACATCATACCTAGAATTTTATTAGAGAAATCTCACCTTCATTTCCAATTGAAATGCAATGATTTTGTCTGGAAGAAACTGAGACCTCACCAGTTATTAACTTTCACAATAAAATATACCAGTCCCTGTTAACACATTCACAATGGGGCCCGTAATTTGAATGTCTTGCTGTCAGGCTGCTTGAACCACTGGTGGTACCTGCATGACTGTTCCACTGGGTAGCTTTTAATTGATTTATTAGTACAAAGACCGATGAAAGTGATTAGATCTGTCTGTACCACCAGTGGTCCAAGCTGCCCCAGACAGGTATGTGCCACTTGGGTTCAAGCCAGCAGCCTCATCCCCCCCACCCCCATCTCCACCTTTGTGCCACAGAGAAATCACAACTAGAGCATGCCAGGAGGGAGGGGCTTACCAGATGAAATCTCTGCAGTGGGAGCAGTAGGTGGGCTGCCGAAGGTAAGTGGCCATGAACTTATGGCCATTGACCTGGTGAACCCTGCGCCTGACGGCCCCTTGCCTCTTCCTCGGTCGCATGCGCTCCCTGAACACCCGCTCTTCATTGTCTTTAGAGGCTGGGGAAAGACAGAACAGAGAAGAAAACAGAGTGGGTTAGTGCACCTGAACAACGACTTCCTGCTGCAGGCCACCATACCCCAGGATGAGTGGAGGTGGGCTGGGTGGAAGGCAGCCTTCCTGTCCTCAGAGTCCATCGCAATCTGGATTCTGCTCCCAGCAAAGTGGCCCATCCCTCCCCATATCAGCTTCATGTTCAAAGGTATGGGGGTCAAAGGGCTGAAGGTTCAAGGAAGGAAGGAACGAAGGAAGGAGGGAAGCCATGTGATCCTGGGGACATGGTCCTCTGCAGGCATCTCCCTCAGGAGATAGGGACCACACTGATTTCTGCCCCCACCCCAGGAGAGATGGGGTGAACCTCCACTTGCTTAGTTACCTGGCACAGAGCAGTAGCTATCAAACATATCTGGCTTCATCCTCCTTTCTCAGGCCCAGAGAAGGACAACTAAGAACTTTCTACCAAAGGTCAAAGGAGAGAGAACTGTCACGCTGTGAAAGCAGATACCTGCCCTGGGGCTCCAGACCTACCACCCACTGGAAATCAAAGAGCCTTATTTTTTCCTCCCTGCCACCCCTGAGACTGCCCCCAGCCTAAGATCACCTTGTAAGGGGACCAAAAGACAACAACAAAAATAGTAGTGATCATCATTAGGGACTGTGGGTTTGTGGGCACCCCGGATTCATATGTTGGCACCCTAACCACAGTGATGGTTATCACACAACACCTCAACACCTGCCGTACCAGCCAGTGACTGACACCCTATCAGAATGATGCCAGGCCCGGGAAAAGAAGCCTTGCTTCCTCTTGGACCTTTTGAATACAAGAATCCCTACAGAAGTCATATGCATGACCCAAACAGCTATTTAATCCAAGAGCATTTTGTAAGCCCAGAAGAAAACTGAAGGCGGAAAAGGGTGGGAATGGGGACCAAACGTCCACGTATGCTCCAAGAGAGCAGCAACCTCCAGGTGGACAGGTAGCCAGTCGCAGCACAGACTTAGACAACCCAAGGCAGGGTTCAGCTTGCTGGACCCCGTGTCCTGGTCTCTATCCTGCCCTCCTATGTTTCTTAGAGATACTGGAGATTGAACACAGAGCCTTGCACATGTTAAGGCAACCACTCTACCAGTGAGCTACATCTTTACCCCTGTTTATTTTTTGAGATGTCTAGGTTGGCTAGGCTGCCTAGTGATCTTTTGCTTTAGCCTCCCTATTAGATGGGATTATAGCCTGCTTGGGTTTCCTTTTTAACTGGGGCTTTTTATTTCAAAAGCCTCAGATACTCATTATCTTTTGGAAAGAGAAAAATCCCTACTACCTACCCTACCACAATCCAGCGGTTCACTCACTGACCTAATGCCCTCAGGAAAATCCCAGGTGATTTTAACACAGAGACATGCACACACACACACACACACACACACACACACACACACACACAGCAGAAGCATGGCAATCGCTACTCTGTTCTGCAGTTATAGGTAATTTTTATCTCCCTGTCATGTTATCTCCCTGTCACATTTAGAATGTTCTATTCTTATAATGAAGAAAAAAATGTAACTAAAAATCAAATCTATTCAGTAACCCTTACTTGCTACAAACACAAACTACAAAAACTAATCCCCAAAAGTGTAGTCTTGGCCACTGTAGGCTAGGGAATGGGCGCGAAAGTCCTTCCGTAAAAAGCATCTTTCACTTCTTCACAGAGCTTACCACAGAATGCATTTACACCGCAAGTAAACTCCTAAGGCATTTAAGATGCAATCTGATTTAGAAATTTACTAGCCATTTGCATCCTGGAACACTCTATTTTCGATTAGAATGGTAGTGAGTCCCATCTAATTCTCTCTAACATAACTGTAATAGTCTTCCCTGAGAGGTTTTTTTTTTTTTTTCAATGCTGGGGATTGGGGCTTTCCCACTGAGCTATACATCCTAGCTCTTTTTCTTCTTTCTTTCTTTAATTTTTTGAGACAGGGTCTAGCTAAGTCACTAAATTGCCCAGGCTGATCTTAAACTTGTAATCTTCCTGCCTCAGCCTCTAAGAATGCTGGGATTACAGGCATGCACCACTATGCCATGCTCCTATTTCTTAAGCTTTTACAGAAATCAGCAGTGAAACCAAATGCCCCAAGCTGTGTGTAAACAGTGAACGCAGCTGCATTTTTCTCAGGAGCTCTTGGTGGTACCTGACAGCTGTAGGGAAGCTGTGTACAGGGGTGGGGTTAGGCAGAGAGCCAAGGACGACCCCCCAAGAGTGGACTCCTCAAAGGGCCTCTTCCTCCAGCCACAGAGCACATCTGTCCTCCTTCGAAGTCAAAGATACGGGGAAGGAAACAGATGGCAACAGAAGCAGAAAAACACAGGTAAACTTTTATGCTTCAAGTGAGTCCCCATGGGAAGCTACATGCAGGAAACAGGAGAAAGAATTGCTGAGAACACCCTAATTCCACATTCCTCTGGACAAGGAAGCCAAGGATCAGGCGGGAGCACCCTTTGCCCTGTCGCTCACAGGCAGGGAAAGAAGCAGCCTACACAACACACACATGAAGAGAGAAGCCATAAGGTTCCTCCGCTATCCCCTCCCTAGGACCTCTCTGCTAGGCCCTGGAATCCACCACACAGATCTCTGCGGCAGGGTCAGTTCCATGCAGCTCCCACACACGTGTGGGTCTATTTCTGGGCTCTCTCCTCTGATCCATAAGTCTGTACTTCTGTTTTTATGCGAGAACCACACAGTTTTAATTACTGAAGCTTTGTAATATATTGTGAAACCAGAAAGTCTCCACTTCTTGTTCTCCTTGATCAAGATTGCTTAGGTATTCAGACTTCTATGGTGCTATATGAATTTTAGGATTTTTTTTTTCCTGTTTCTCTGGAGGGAAAAAGTCTGTTGTTATTTTCATAGGAGTCACCCTGAATCTGAAGATCAATTTGGGATGTACAAGTATTTAATAACAGTAGTTTTTCTGAACCATGAAAAATCAACTGCTGCCAGACAGGCATGGGGTACACACCTGTAGTCCCCACACTCAGGAAGTTGACATAGGAGGTCTGTGAGTTCTGAGCCAGCCTGGGAAACATAGTGAGTTCAAAGCAAGCCTGGACTATACAGAAAGACTCAAACAAAACAATGAACCTGATACAAACTTACAAAGGGGAAATGATGGTCTCTTTAATAAATAGTATTGGGGAAACTGGATGTCTACATGCAAAAAAGTAAAATTGAACACCAATCTTCTGTTATACACAAACATCAACTCCAAATGGACTAAAGACTTAAAGTAAGACATGAAGTCATAAAAGCTTCTAGAAAACACAGGGGAAAAGCTTCTTGGTATTGGCCTTGACAATGATTTCTTGGATCTGACCTCAAAAAACTTAACAGAAGAAAAACAGGCAATATATATCAATATACAGACAATATATATCAAAATAACAATATTTTGCTCAGCAAAGGAAACCATTAACAGGATGGAAAGAAAAATATGTGGAATGGGAGAAAATGTTTGCAAATTATATATCTGACAAAGTTTAATATCAAAAGTGCATAAAGAGCATCTAGAAAATAGCAAAGAAATTATCCAGTTTGCAAAGATGCAGAAGAACTGAAAAGACATTTCTCCAAAAAGTACATACAAATGGTGGACAGGTAGTATATGAGAAGATGATCAATATCAATAATTATCAGAGAAATACACATACAACCACAATGAGATCTCACGTCGGTTCTGGTAGATTGGCTACCATACAAGGAAACAAAAGTTAATTGTTAGCGAGGAGGTGGACAAAAGGGAACACTTAATGCTATTAGTGGGACTGGAAATTGAACGAGCCACTACGAAAAGTACAGAGGTCCCTCAAAAAATTAAAACTATAACTACCAGGGCCGGGGATTTAGCTCAGCAGTTTGGTGGCCTGCCTTGCAAGCGCAAGGACCAATCCCCAGTACCCAAAACAAAACAAAACAAACAACAACAACAAAAAAACTATAACTACCATAGGATCCAATATCCCAAGTTCTGGTTATATGTCTAAAGGAATCCAAATCACACTACTGAAGAGAGATCTGCACTCCCTTGTTCTCTGCAACTTTATTCATGACAGCCAAGGCACAGAAACAACTCAAATGTGCACTGATGGATGGATTGGAAAGTGCAGTGTAAATACATAAGTGGAGTGTCATTCAACCAGAAAAGAAGGACATGCTGCCACTTGACACAGCAAACATGAACACAGAGGACACTGTGCTAAGTAAAAAAGCCAGCAACAGGACAGACACCGCATGATATTACTTATATGAGAAATCTAAAATAGTCGAACTAAAAAAAAAAAAGCAGAAAGTAGAATGGTGGCTATCAGAGCACGGGGGTAAGGAGAGTCAGGGTAATATTAATAAAAGGTACCAAGTTCCAACTTTTCAAGAGGAATTCATTAGTCCCAGAGATCTACTGTGCAGCACAGTCCATATAAGTCATGGTACTGTACTGTATACTTGAAAACTAGCTAAAGGGGTGGATATTAAATGTTACCATAAAAATAAATGAAGATGAAAATAAAGCACAGTTCCCAATGGTAGTGGTAACATATTGTGTGAATGGAACGTGAGTGTGAGGGAGCAGGAATGCAAATGTGTGTGTACACATGCACATGACACATGAAATTATATAATCTATATAATACTGCATGCTGATCTATAACACAGTATTATTACATATAACAGATACTATATATTGTTTGCTGAACCATTTCACCCCTGAATACTTCAATTTTTATTACCTAAGAACAAAAATATTCTTCGTCCTATCTAAGCACAGTATCAGAATGAACATGCTTAACACTGGTACGAACGACATCATATCATGTACAGTTTCCCAACTGTCTGCCAAATATCCTTTCTTTCTTTTTATTTTTTTATTTTTATTTTGGTACCGGGGATTCAACTCCGGTCCTTGCACTTGCAAGGCAGGTGGTGGAACCACTGAGCCAAATCCCCGG